CATCCACGTCCATCCATGCCCATCCATGTCCATCCACGCCCATCCATGCCCATCCATGCCCATCCATGCCCATCCATGCCCATCCACAGGCCAGCATCCAGCGGTTCCAGGGCCTTGATTGACTGCACCCCCCAGCTGGAGGCACCAGGAGCACCAAGGACGTGCCAGGAGGTGCCACCCCCTGTCCCGGACACGGCCTGAGGGTCACCCTGTCCCCAGGAGAGGCAGCACGAGGAGCCTGGTGAGGAGTTCCTGGAGTGGGATGGTGGTGGGAGGTGGGGCTGGGGTGGGAGGGGGGGTCCCCCCAATCCCCAGAGCAACTCCCAGCGCACTCAGCAGCCCCTTCCGTGAGTTTTGCAGGACATGACAGGTTGGAGCAACCTGGGATAGTGGGAGGGGTCCCTGCCCAGGGCAGGGGGTGGGGCTGGTTGGGCTTTGAAAGGTCCCTTCCAACCCAAACCATTCCATGGTTCTGTGCCCCCCTCTCCTGCCATCTCTATCCACGTGGATTTTCCTGCTCCTGCTGCCACCTGCCCTCTCTCAAGGTGTCCCAGGGTGTCCCTAGGCACTGAAATACCCACTGACCCCCAATTCCTACCTGTCCCCACCCTGAAGGAGGTTGGAGCCAGACCCCAACACCGACTTCCCCACAGCGGGACTGGGACAGGAGGAGTGATCTGGGAAGGGAATTGGGATGGTGGGGACACAGTCACCTCTCAGCTTGGCCCTGGCTCTGCCTGGGCTGGCACCGGGCTCACACCAGTTTCTCCCACTAACAGGTGACAGGAGTGGGGTCCAGGGGACCAAGGAATGCCGGAGAAAAGCTGAGGTTGGGACTGGAACGTGGGCAGGATCCGTGGGACACTCTTCCCGTGCCCAGGGTAAGGTCTTGCCCCCTCCTTTCCCAAAATACCACCAGCTCCCAGTTCCCCAACTGGTCCCTCCAGCCCCAGCTGGCCCTGCTGGTCCCGGGACTCTCTCCAGCTCCCGTTTTCCTTGTCTTTAACTGGGATTTCAAGGCAAAAGCAGGAGCTGGAGACCTGCAGCTCCAGCAGCAGACGGGGCCCAGTGCCCAGGACCCTCCGCAGGGTTTGGGGACTCTGGTGGCGATGCCTGAGCCTGGAGCTGGGTCCTGCTCAGAGATTCCCACCAGGGACCACTCGTGGGGGATCCCCACGGATCCGTGGGAAGGCCATCCTGGAAATCCCGGGCTCCCAATCCCCCCAGCACGCGCTCGGCCGCCGCCGCCAGCGACCCAGACGCCCAAATATTGAGCTATACATTAAATTAATAGGGGGGAAAAAAAAAAATAAAAAAAAA